GTATCGTAGTTTGTTGTAAGCAAGATCAGCAACTTCTAAGTAAGAATACACATTGTTTGGTTTACCGCCTAAAATAAATTATAAGGTTAAGAAAGGATAGTCATTTGACAATGTCTTTATTATAGCACTGGTAACATGTTCCTACCTTCAACATATTAGTAATGCATATTAATAATGTCACATAACAATATATGATCAATCATTCTCCAGATATTAGAATTATGCATATTAATGAGACTACATGACATGTGCATAAGACATGTTAGCCACATATCTTGTCAAGTGCCTTCATTGCACTCTCCTATCTGCAACAGTGCTTGAGAAATTACAATTATGCATATTGAATAGGTAAATTATGCAAATATTTAAATTAATATGCATCAATTTCAAGTGTCAAGTAATCAGGCCTGTGAATTATCCAAGAGCACCTACATGTATATACCACGTTTCATTTAAATTTGATGAGTGTTACTAGAGATATCTGTGGTATAATAAAGTAGATAATCTATGCAAAATAAATAATTAGTATGCACATAATTTAAGCCTAAACAAAATGTGGCTTATCTCAGAGCAGTACCATGCTTCATAGAATGACATATGACTTGGGTAGGTCTTGTCAAATTTTATTGAATGACGCTAACCTGGATAGGCCTGTTGTTAAACTTAATAAATTAAGGATGCTAACTTAGGTAGATCTCATGACACTTAACTACATGACACTAGCCTATGTTGACCTCTTGATAAATTGCCTTTGAAATTTGGTTCCTTAAATCATCTTCCAATTAAAAAATGATTCTAAGTTGTGGCCATGCCCCTTTTCTGTCACCATTAAATGTCAGACAAAGGTGGAAGTCATGCATGTGTCATGCACTGAATACCGTAAAAACTTGTAAATGTAAAACTATTATTTTACATGTGTGTGAATTGCTAATGAAAATTAGCATACTACTATGATTTTGTTTTTAATTTTAAATATTGATTGGATGGTTTTTTTTTCCTGGGTGAAAAATATTATCAAACAATTCGTCTTCTGGTGGCATGATACTGCACGCATATGCACAGTCAGTATCCCAGTACACATCACTGACATACAATTGTCGCTTACTAAGCAGCATCAGCAAGTAAACAAGCAGCCTCTTGGCTGAGATAGCTCCGCTGTTAGCAATGCACATTTCAATTAAAGAACAGAAGATATCATTAGAAAATGAACAAAATGTATAATATCAAAGCAATTGAACTTTTGGTTTTTAACAAGAAGTC